AAAAAAAAAAAAAAAAATGAGTGGCGACACACAATGTCACATAAACAGGTGAACAAAAAAGCAACGCAATTTCGCGCATCCAAGTTGGCCCTGCTTCCAGACGTACCTTTCTTATACTCTTCTATGGGTAATATTTCACCGCCCCCCTTGAAAAAGTTACTGCGAAGGGAAAGGACAAAGGAGGAAAAATAAAATTCATAATTATGTCGTGTGTGTGGTGGTGAAATGAATAATGGAGTCGCATTGTAGGGAAAAATCCTGCCACTCTTTTTAGGTGGCCCATTTTTAAGGGTCCCTTCCTGCTCGTACTATATTTGGGGGCACCCCTTTTCCAGGAATAGATAAAAGTAGCTAGCCGTGTAAGTGCGAATGGTGGCGACGTCGTCCTTGCACAGTCTGCGGTGGGTGGGAAGGAAGTGAGACACGATGTGTGGATCCAGCAAATCCAGTGGTCCGAGGAACTACATCCAGTTCTTCGTTATCACGGAAACGACAACATCGCCTATGTAGCAGTGGCACACCTACCTGAGGAATAGGGGGAAGAGGAACGTACGGACGACCTCCGCATCCTCCGCGCAGGACAGCATCCGGAAAACCACCTTAGACACCCTCTTTCGCAGGGAATAATCCAGCGTCTTGCAATCCAGCACGTGTGACAGGTACGACATGAGGACGTTTTGTACTGGTCTCGGGAAAAGCAAAATCATTTTGTCGTACCTCTTAAGAATGGCCTTCTTAACCAGCACATTTGAATCCCTCAAAAAGTAACAAATGAAAAAATGAAAAAAAAAAAGGAAAGAATCTTCACTGTAATATTTTCTAAACCTTTGAATGTATTTCGCATATACAGCTTCATATTTGTGTAGAAATTTTTTGTAAAAAAAAAAATTTTCATTTTCTTCATTTCTAAAAAAATCATTTTCCTGTAGGTTGGCATTAATTTCGCTTTGCAATCTTTTTATTATATTGCTCCTCTCGAGCAAACCTCCCTCCGACCCTTTGTCCATTTTCCTTCCCACATCTTCACCCATTTCCTTAACCACCTGTTCATGGATCTCCCCCTCGGAATACCCACACTTTGAATAATTAACCTCTTCCTCTTTCTGCTTCTCGGTAGGTTCGTTTGCAGTGGGTGGCGTACTCTCATCCACTTCACGTCCAGACGAACTACTGTTGTCCAAATTACTTACCTTCTCATCACTCGTAACCGATTGCATGCTCTGTATGCGTTTCATATTGCAGTAGGTAGCGTAGTCTACATTGAACGTCTGTGTGATTTGAGGAAAATTTTTTCTAGTGGAATAATTCGTACCACTTCTTTGTTTTGTAGAATCCGTTTTGGACAGGTGAGGATAAGTAAATACATCATTCTTCCTCTTCAAAAGTATATCCTTTTCGCTCTGCCTAAATTTGATCATCATGTCCTCTTCCTCATTTAACTCACCAACACTCATTTGTAGCAAATCTGCTGGCTCCAAAAAGTTAACCAAAATCTCATAAAACAAAGACGCCATGGTCTTCCGAATTATGTAGTAGGGATAGGTACAGAGAAAAAAAAAAACGTGAGAAAAAAATCTGAAAAAATATTCCTTCAGCACTAGGATCAGTGTGGGCATATGCAGGGCACTGATATACACTGCGTTTATGTTATGCGACACGATGATGTTGCTTGGAGTGTCAAATAAAAACTTCTTCTTAATAGCCTCTACATTCACCGCTTCAATATTATAAATGTCATTTTCCTTCTGGTTTAAATGTATTTTACGTGGGCGCCGCTCTCTTTGCACATCCATTTTACCCCCCTTCCGAAGAAACGTTGCTCCGTATGCCATGTTCCCCTTTATTAGATCAACCTCACTGAAGTACCATCCTTTAATTTGATTTATGTCAATCGTCTTGTCATGATTATATATGCCGTCTATGTAGGTGATATCATTATAGGTGAGGTTAAGCAGTTCATCGTTATATTTTCCCTCATATGTAGGGTCGTCCCCCTTTTTCTTTTCTTCTCCTTTGTCTTCTCCTGTATGTTCTTCTCCCCCTAAGGGTACGCTCACCTTCTTGGCTTCTTCTTCGTCTGCATCGTGACCTTCTCTCTCCTGTGTGCACCGCTGCTCTTGTAGAGGAGATTCCTTACCTTTAACCTCCTCCTTCCCTCCCCCAGCTTCTCCACCGTGTACTTGAAAAAACTGGCGCACGCTCACCGAAGAATGATTGTTGCTAATTATGAGGTCGTTAATGAAACCATTATTAACAAAAATGGAAGTTGATCCTGGAGTGACGAGAGAGCACGTGGACGAGGATGGAAGCGCAGACGTAAGGAGTGATGTTGCATTGGACGACTCCAGCAAGGAAGACGACGAGGGGGAAAAAGAGAAGCCGCTCTGTACAGCTTCGGTTACTTCTTCTCCTCTGTTGACACCTCCCAATGTCTTATCCTGTGCAACTCCATCAGAATAATCTTCCTTCACATGATTGTCCGATGTTGAATAGTATCTGCTTCCCCCCATTTGCTTGGCTTCCACTTGCCCCTTCAACTCCGCTATATTGACTGGTTGGCTAACGTCGTTTTGCTCATCACTTGCGTTGTTCATCTTGCGTGTTACCTCTTCGTGAACTTCTCGCTTCCCCTCATGATCCCTTTCGCATACATCCGATTTATCTTTTGATGAGACGTATGGTGTGTCGCTTCTCCCCAAGTTGTCTTGGCTACTCTGACCTTGTGACATTTCACTTGAGTCGATACTGGGTCGTTCCTCTTCCGAAGGAGTAATACCATTTGGCATGTCCGCCTTTGGGTTACTCAAAATGTTTGCCTCAGCCACTGGGTGTTGTTCCTCTGTTTTGCGTGCTTCGCCCACTGCAACCGATGGCGCTTCTCCAACTGCAGCCGATGGTGCTTCTCCAACTGAAGCCGATGGCGCTTCTCCCACTGGGGAGGATAGCGCTTCGGCCCCCCGGGGGACGCCGCCCACCAAAGCGTAGGTGCTCTGGCGCTTGGCGGTGTCGTTCAAATAATTCAACGTAAACAAATGTGAAGAAAAAACATTATTGAAAAAAAAAATTATCTTATGAATGTAAAAAGGATGAATAAGATCCATGTCCTCAAAAAGACAAACAAAGAAAAGAATATTTATCAACGCATAATAAAAAATATATAAGTTTGTATGCTTCAGAAAATGATTAAAGAGAGGAACGAAAAAATGAAGAAAGAGACTCTTTGAATAAAGACACGACAAATGCACACAGTTGTACATGCTAATTATTTTAATAACGTCATTAGAATCATTACATAGCGATTTGAGCATAACAAATATTATTATCAACTCTTCTTCGTTTGCAATTTTACATATATTATGCAGGTAACAGGAGAGGAACAATTTGCTCTCTTCATCTTTTCCCCAAACGAAGGATTCTATACAAGGGAACAAATGCCTCGACACCATTTCTCTCTCAAATATATGGCAAATTTTAATTAACAGAACAAATCCCAGATTCTTGAATTTTTCACTCCCGGTCAGTGATAGTATGAAGGGGAAAATTATGTTCCTTCGGTACTTGGCCTTGATGTGTGTCGCTAGGATAAGTAGCGCCTTCATCGCGTTGGCGAGAACATCTGCGCCGTCAACACTCCCGCCTTGCCCATTTCTAATGATCCGTTCAAGGATGGGAAAGAGAAACTTAATGATATCTCCACACCCATCAGGCTCATTGTTACTCTGCAGCAGGTATGCACACAGATCACCCATCTGACAACACAACTCATATTGTATTTCTTCTTTGTCGTTGCTTAGTTTTACAAGCAAAGGATAAATCACCTTCTTAAAATCCTCATAGTCTATGCTATTTAGCGACTTCACTAATTCTTTAATAAAAATTATCTTCCGGCATTTCTTGCTGCTGTTTCCGTACAGTACAGCTCTTTCCAGGGTACTTAAATTTTCATCCACGGCCTCGTGAATATTCTCCAAGCTTAAATTGAACACACTCGATGTCAGGCCTATCAGCAGAGGGGTGGGAAGAGAAATACGTGTAGCTCATTCGCAATGGAATGGACGCACTACCGTGCCCGTTCTACACACATATAACTGCGTACACACGTGTACATATAAATATTTCCTGCCTCAAAATTTCCTCATCCCGTTTTAAATATTTATCTCTTCTTTCACTCCAAAAAGGCATATACCTGTCAGCTTGGCGAAGAAGCCATTTTGCCTATTCACCATCTTAGCGTCAGTATTTTGGGGTCTTTTTTTAAAAGGGGTGGGGTAGATACATTTGAGGGGGGGGGGGAGCTAACTTGGACTTGAATTATAGTATCATCCTTTTGAGTAACTTGTCTAGTGGAATGTGTACGCACTCACGTCGTGATGAAAAAAGAGTCATACAAGGAAAACGGATGTGGTGTCTCTCCTCCCAATTTTGGTACTTCGCCTGGTTCAAAAACTCTTCATATATGGTGTCTACTGTTATGCGGTCTGCGAAGGAGGAGTATATTCCCTTTGAAAGTGCTTCTTCACCCTGGAGTATGTATCACAACGGTGAACAACTGCGGCTGGATGTTGAGGGGTCATTGGGGGGTTTTGCTCCTACCTATACACATAAGGAGACATTCACTCATATTATGCTTCCCAACCACAACAGGGAAATGGAAATGCTAAACTTTATGGACCTCCCGAAATCGCCACTTAACCAAATTTGAGGTGGAAGTGCTTATCTTCATAAACAAATGGCTGGCATCGTCGACCTAACCTTTCATGTTTGAACCAGGTTTAGGATAGTTAGGGTTCATGGGAAAAGCCTATTATGCGAAGGGCAAAGCGGCAGTTGTGCGTCTGCAGGGAGAGGTCATCCTCTAGCCTTCCTTCAGCACCGCGTGTATGTTTGCTTTCGCATGCGCATTTATACGCTCTGGCCGACTGCTCTGATCAAGGGAGTTCTTGTGAAATTATTGCACGCACTTTTCTGTTCACGCCTTGGATCGTTTCTTTATTTTTCGAAAGAGCCTTGAGCTGTCACACAGATGATTAATTACACATTCTGCAATGTCGTAATGTCAAAGTTGGATTTTTTTTTTTTTTTTTTTTTTTTTTTGGGTAAGTTGGTTTTTTTTTTTTTTTTTTTTTTTTTTTACTTGGGGTTTGGGGCCTTTCGAGAGGCTCCACTATGGATTGGTCACTGTGCAAAAGGGGAAAAAAAAAAACAAAAAAAAAAGGTGCAGTGTATACCTCCATAAGCATGTTTCCACCAACACACTCATGATGATGATCGACCACATGGGTGGGTAGAGTAATTACCTGCGTCAGGCGGACCTATAGATATGTCCCACATTTTGGCAGGGGGGGGGTACAATCAACACATAACTTTGTAACGGCCTTAACTTGGCATGTAAGATGCGTCAAAATGTTGCAGGCGTATTTATTTATTACTTTTATTTTATTTTTTTTTTTAACCTTTTCGCCATGTAGAGGAGGCATTTTTTTATTTTTGTATTCGTCTCTACACAACTTTATACCAGCACGCGCAACTTGGTAGCTTTAATTAATGCGCATTTTTTTCTTCCCCTAAATTCTTGTTCACAGATTTGCGTCTGTATCCGCGCAGCACCTGGTGAACGCAGTGTGTAGTTTCATTTTTTGCGCTTCTCTCCCAGCGTCATACATCTCAAAAGGCTTTAGTACCATACTGGAGAAATTGCTCTTATTCTCCACTTACCCCCCGTTTTTTTTCCCCCCCGAGTTTAGCAGTCACCCACTACACTTACGCCAAGTGCACACTTGCCATCGCTTTAACAACAATTTCGAAGCAGAAGAAGACTCTCCATAGTTTGGCTCCGCAAAGGGGAGAAGAAAACACACACGTACTGTGCTGTGCATATTTCTCATGTGGCAAATTCGAGACGAGAAGCATTGTACCAGCGTAGTCAACCTGGTCAGCCATCTGTAGTGGTTGCTGCTGCAGGCTGGCCCCGTTTATTCCCTTTTACTTTTCTCGTATGCTGACCAACCCAAAATAACAATCACCCAGAATAATGTTGACCGTTCGCCGCAAGTGTTACCCCGCTTTTCTGCGTGGGACCCGCCTTAACTTTTCAAGTGTAAAAAAAAAAGCGTACGAAATTGTGGACCACCACTACGATGCAGTGATAGTAGGCGCAGGAGGAGCAGGGCTCAGAGCCGGATTGGAATTGTCCAAAAATAATTACAAGGTAGCATGTATAAGTAAATTATTTCCTACAAGATCCCATACCGTCGCAGCACAAGGGGGCATAAATGCCGCACTAGGTAATATGACTGAAGATGATTGGAGGTGGCATGCCTACGATACGATCAAAGGATCCGATTGGCTAGGGGATCAAAATGCAATTCAATATATGTGTCGAGAAGCACCTGCATCTGTTTTGGAGCTAGAAGAATTTGGGTTACCTTTTTCTAGGACAAAATCAGGAAAAATATATCAAAGGGCATTTGGAGGACAAAGCCTAAAATATGGAAAAGGGGGACAAGCATATAGATGTGCAGCTGCTGCGGATAGAACAGGACATGCAATGCTTCATACCTTGTATGGCCAATCATTAGCACACAACTGTGTTTTCTTCGTTGAATATTTTGTACTAGATTTGTTAATGGCAACCCCAAACGAATGTATTGGTGTTATTTGTTTAAATATAGCTGATGGGAAAATACACAGATTTTTTTCACCTCACACTGTAATTGCTACTGGGGGGTATGGTAGAGCTTACTTGTCTTGCACATCAGCACATGCTTGTACAGGAGATGGAAATGCTATCGTTTCGAGGAGCAAACTACCATTGCAGGATCTTGAATTTGTCCAATTTCACCCAACAGGAATATATCCAGCTGGGTGTTTAATTACAGAAGGGTGTAGAGGTGAAGGAGGCATACTTAGGAACAGGGAAGGAGAAGCGTTTATGATGAGGTATGCTCCTAAAGCGAAAGATTTGGCTAGTCGAGATGTAGTCAGTAGAGCCATGACCATAGAAATAAATGAAGGCAGAGGTTGTGGTCCTAATGCTGATCATATTTACCTCGACTTGACACATCTTCCTTATGAAACATTGAAGGAAAGACTACCTGGTATAATGGAAACAGCTAAAATATTTGCAGGAGTTAACGTCACCAATCAATACATACCTGTACTCCCAACAGTACATTATAACATGGGAGGCATACCAACCAATTATAAAACACAAGTGCTAACACAAAAGGTTAATTTATCCAAAGGGGTAAGCACATCCGATGAGAAAGATATTATTGTTAAAGGCCTTTACGCAGCAGGAGAAGCAGCTTCTGCATCTGTTCATGGGGCAAACCGATTGGGTGCTAATTCTCTCCTAGATATTATTGTCTTCGGAAAAAGGGCCTCCCTAACCATCATGGAAATTGATAAGCCAAATATACCCCCCATCAGTGCACAGGCAGATATAGGTGATGAAACCATACAACGTCTAGACAAAATCAGATTCAACAAGGGAAATATTTCAACAGCACAAATAAGGAAAAAAATGCAAGTGTGCATGCAAAAACATGCTGCTGTCTTTAGAATTGGACCCCTCCTAGAAGAAGGCTACAAACAAATACTTAATATCTGCTCCGAGTTTAATGATGTGTACGTTGCGGACAAAACGCTAACTTGGAATACTGATTTGATTGAAACGTTGGAGTTGGAGAATTTACTAACCTTGGCATCTCAAACCATTTTAGCCGCCATAGATCGAAAGGAGTCCAGGGGGGCCCATGCAAGGGACGACTTCCCCGAGAGAGACGATAAGGCCTTTCTTAAACACTCCCTAACTTGGATGACTCATAGGGATGTTGAGAAGACCAAATATTTCACCACCTACAGGGGCGTCATCACGGAGCCGCTGGATAATGAAATGGAGCACGTCCCTCCCGTCAAAAGGGTTTACTAAGGCGGGCCGCGTTGCCACGTTGTCACGTCGCCACCTTGCCGCGTTGCTGTTTGGACACCTGCATTGAAGGATGTTTCCTTTTTTTTTTTTTTTAATAAAAAATCTCCTCGAACGAGATTACCATAAAACATAGCCCACCCCCCCAATGGGGTGATCTTCAAAAAGTTCTTATTTGCCCCCACCCAAAACTACTTCATTTGTGACTCGCCCCAAACTGCTACAATGATTTTCCAAACATTTCAATTCGTCGTTTTTTCCTCACCATGATGCGTGTGGCGTACGGGGCCCAATGGCTTTTTCCCGCCTTGTTATATCACACACTCGGGCGTACCTTCTCTGGGCATTCATCATAGGTGTACGTCGACGCGTGAGGGAGAAAAAATGTATAATTGATGCATTCCACGAGTTGGCTAACTGCTTAGCGGTTTTACCCCAATGTGCTACTTCCTGTGGAAGCTCTTGTGTAATATCCCTCTCTCTTTTTGAAACCGATATGTCTAATTGCGCAAATGAAAAAAAAAAAAAAAAAAAAAAAACATGCGCTTAACCGTTATGCCCATTTGTGTCTCCATTTTAGTCCTTTCACTTGTGGTAGAGGAAGACTTCCCACTTGGCGTGCAACAGGAGGTTCTCTTGTTGTGCCGTCGCGTCGCGAACCGATTCGATTCGCGTGCAAGGGGACACTTAAAAAGGTATAACATGTGTGCAACATACCGTCGCACATGGTCATAAAATTTACAAGGCATGCAATGTAGTAGGGAGTTTTTGGAAGCAGGCAGATGAAGCAGGGAACGCAGAAGGAGAGATAAAGGGGACACGCATTCCCCAAATGGACCGAGAAGAACCCATTTCTCTCTACTGCCCATTTGCTACCCCGCACGAACCTTCCTAAACCCCACAGAAATCAAGCGGTCCAAACAGACGTACCCAAAGTTCACCCAGTGACCATGCGAATAGGTCAACAGCGCCCCCGCAGTGGAAACGACCCAGATATGCCCATCGTTGTCAAAATCCATGGCACATATTTTCAAATCATCCTTCACAACTTTTTCATTCCAGCAACCGTCCTTTTCACACCAGATTGCCAACGCCCTCTTCGTGTTGATAGCCCACAAATCTCCCCTACTGTCAAAGGCTACACTAATCAATTTATGGAATCCTGAAAATCTCACTTTAGTCCATTTTGTTCTATTCCATTTGAGCAACTCTCCCTTTCGATTGACACAGCATAATACATTTCTCTTATCAAAACTGATGTCTACAATTTCTTCGTTACCTAAATGGCCAAAATTTTTAAAACTCTTTTTCATCCTTTTCAGTAGCTCGTATGAAGTATTCACACACCAGAGGTGTCCTTTATGGTCATATCTAGCCCTAGTCAAAAATTGGAAATAACTTTCTACTCTCTTCCATTCAAAGCCATTCCACAATCTGAGTACACTATTTTTATCAACGATTATCATATGCTCGAAAAGCCGTAACCCTTTGGTCATATCGAACATGTCTCTTTTGAAATTGATTGAAAGGTTGTGTGGTAATTGTTCCCTACAACTTCGATGTATTGGCGCTTTGGTACAGGACTCACCCTTTTGCGCACATTGGTTATCACGTGGAGATGTATATTTCGGTTCTCCATTCCTACGCTTGTATTCCTTCATGGTGTCTCTACCTAATACGTGGTCCTTGTTCCCCTTACGGGGAGTACTCAGCCGATCACTGTTTAATTGTTCAACTATTCTGCTATTTTTTCTTTCCCTCTTTTTCTCCTCTGCATTGCTCCTACTCACATGTGCTTGACTTGTGCTAATCTTCTCATCACCGTTTGACTGGAAATTTGTCGAAATGGAAATGTTATTTTGCCTCTTGAGACCTTCCAAAAAGGTATCCTTCTCACTAGTACCTACCGTGACACTTTTTTCTTTTCTTACCTGACTTGACTTGGTTGGATGTTCCCCCTTTTGATCCACCACATAGTCATTTTGATTTTTCCTAAAGTCCACAGATCGGTATTCGCTTTGCACGAATGACAGATTTTTCTTACTGTCCATGTCTCTCTGAACACTAATGGGTGTTGTCTTTCTTTCTGCTGGAAGAGAATTCATTTTACTTTTATCAACGTCGAATGGGGGAATTTCCCTAACATATTCTGGCCTACTTTTGTGAAATGCCCTCACCTGATTGCTACCATCATAGCTGTGGTTAGTAGGCACTTTAATTGAATTTGCGTAATTGGCTACAATGTGGTTTATGTCGGTGTTGTTCAAGTCCCAATGCTTGGCCAGGCCCACCACGCCCATCGTTTTCTGTCGTTCTTCTCTTCTCTTCGGTATATACTGCGAAGTGGTATGTTTCAAAGGCTTCATTTCAGAGCCATTTCGGTGCCCATAATATTGCACATAATTCTTCATGCTATCGCCCGCGTTTGACTCATGTTGACTGCTAACGGGGCGAACATTTATATTCCTCGATGCGTAGCTTCTGTAACTTAAAGCTGGGGGATTCACTTGCTTGTTGTTCACATTGATCACCATGGGGGGTGCGTACTCGTGATTTGTCCTTTGGTTCCCAAACATCGTCGTGGTTATCGCTTCTATATCGTTGTTGTTGCTTTTTTTTTTGGAGGGGGAAGACACGGACAAATCCACCAGCTTAATTTCTCCCCTGCTTGTGAGAAAATTTCAAATGGCAGTCTCGTATCTGGTTATTATGCCTTTGTGTGATTGCAGCGTGATGGACAATGCAGGCCTTTTTTTTTTTTTTTTTTTTCTTTTTTGCGCACAAAACGGTGCGTGTTTGAGTGTGCTACTCGTATAACATGAAATATAAGTAATTCACCTTTAGTGCAAAGCAATTGGTCAAACTTTTACAAAGCATTAAAAAGAAGTAACGTGCGCCTGCGATGAAACCTGTAAGTGAACTAAACACACACACACAAGATCTTTCACTTTTTGCTCTTCAGGAATGCGGAAAATACGTGCCCGAAGAAAAGGAATTCATTTATAAAAATTCGTTACAACACATATTTTGCAACTGTAGACAGTTATGGCGATATATATACTCCATCGTTTTGTTCATTTTTAGCCAGCTGCATTATAGCTAGCTAGTTTTTTTTTTTTTTTTTTTTTTCCCCATTTGTTCTAACAAATAACCATAACGTCATAAGGATAGATTTTTTCTTCAATTTGTGAAGGAAGCACTGATCTATTGTTCAACAAGTAGTAGTACATTTGTGTCCTTCAAAAGAACAGGTAATTGCTCCCCTTTGGTAGTGCTGTCTACTTCTCATTGATGATACAACTCAGAGGGGGGAACAAACTAGGTGCTCAAACTCTTACAAATAAGTAAGCCATTCTGCACACACGCACACACGAAAAAAAAAAAAAATAATAATAAAAATATGAACCGTTCATATTTTTTCATAATAATTAAGTCTTTGTACAAGGGAATTACGAATAGTTCACATTTTGCAAAATGGGACTCCCTCACGAAGCCACATAAGCAGTGCGACATTTTTCACCAATGCGGTTGGGCAATCTCAACCGTTCCTTCTCCAGCTATTCTGTATAAAGGGCTAACCCCACAGTCGGCACACTTTAAAACGACGCAGAAACGTTTAAAGATGACAAGGCACATTATATAGTTTAAAAAATGTTTAAAAAAAATTGGCATGTCAATCACAAATAAGTTGCAAAAGGGACTCAACAATATCTACATAAAGTTCTACTCCCGTTTTGCATTTCCCCCAGGGGAAAATTAAAACCGAATTTTAGTATATTCACAAAAAAAAAAAAAAAAAAAAAAAAATACTTTAAAAAAGTAAGAGAACCTACACGGCTCTTTTCCTTTCGCATGAATGCAGAAATGTGGTTAGTAAAAGAGCCTATCGTTTTCTCCAAACACAACGAACAACACCTCTATCTACACCTCCTTACAAATTCCCTTCCCATGTCCCACATCGTCTGCTCACTTCGCTGAGGTCCACACCCTCGACAAAGTCAAGATTGTTGGATCCTGCCGGTAAACGTCCGTATACGTCATTGGCTTTGGGTCGCTCACATCAACGATACTTACAACTCGGTTGAAAAAGTGGACTTTCCCCGATTTCGTAGCTATAAGGGTGAAATCTCTTCCCTGCTTAACCCCATGACCAGGTTTAAAGGTCCTTCCTCTCTGTCTAACTATAATATTACCAGCATGGGCGAAATTATTTCCAAGTACTTTTACCCCTAAGTTTTTGGGGTTACTGTCTCTTCCGTTTTTCGTGCTTCCCACTCCTTTTTTTTTGGCCCATAATTTATTTAAACGTCTGAATTGCCCTATACTCACCATTTGGTCATAATTTTTCATAAAACATTCTTGCGCTTTATTTTTTTTTATAAAAAGGTTACTGTTAAAATGGCTAGCTGGTACTAGGCTGCTTCCTGATGCGTTTATGTTGTTCACGCGTAGACGCTTTTTCTGTGTCGTTCTGATCATTTCTGCACCCCCACGATGCCTTAAATATGTTCCTCCGTACTTCGCTGCGTGTGCAAATTCTTTCGTGCATATAGCACATTTGATTAGAGCAACAAAAAGAAACAAAAGGTGAATTCTCATTTATGAAACAGTTGCATACACCGACGAGGGAGGGGAAGCTGTGGTGATTTACTTTTCAATCTTCTTTGCACAGAAAAGGCTATTCTCTCATGTGTGCAATAATTTCACGCTTGCCTTAAACAGGTGGGAAAACAGGTAAATGTACAACTGACACGTAGAACGCTCGTTCGCTTATCCACACTCACGAAAAAAAAAAAAAAAAAAAAAAAAGCTACTGCGGTGGGTGAAAATGGAAGTGACTCATAGTACACGCACGCGTGCACTCACAAACTTGCACGTTTATGTTTTTGCCTTTTTGTGTGAAAAACTTCTTTCTCGCTTCGCCGGAACAAAACGGATGCATCACTCAGCGGCATGACTACACGCCCATTCAGCGCGCGTAACACATGCTTTAATCCAAAACATAAAATTTCACGTTGTGTTGTCTTAAAGATCACGCTCCATATGCACTTGCAAACCGACACGATCAGACACGAACCACCTCAAACGGAGTGCATGCATATATACACACTATTCAATTGAAGATGAAGCAATCACTCTTTTATTTGCTCCTTCTGTTCTTCCTATCCGTTGCAAAAACGGACGATGATGCATACGTCGAACTGGACGAACACGAACTGCAACATAAATTCAGCGTCCGTGTCTTGCGAGGGTCTTCTGTGCGGTGCGGTTTGGACCTTCGGGATGAGGCCGACATTGAAATGAGGACTTTCTGTAAGTGCCCTCACTAAGTGGTCGACAATTCCATTCTTAGACTCCCTCCATTAGTTATTGCGCTATCGCTTAGCCGCCCTATCACTACTTTACCCTTCTATACTTGTCCTATTACCTTTCTCCTTTTTTCCCTTTTTCCTATTTCACCAATGTTCCCAAATCGGCTATGCACAGCCCCGGGGGTGCATATAATGCCTCACATACTATCGGTAGCACACCAGAAGAGCGCCCCTTCACATTTGCCGACGCTCATTCCCCTTAAAAACTGCCCCGTCTCTCCCTATGCACAAACCTGATCATGCAACGTTCTAAATTTTCCTCCCCCCAATTTCGCAGGACTACCAATTTGGCTACGCCCAACAGAAAATTATAGTAAATGAATGAGCACTTAATTGTGTGCAGCTTGCGCGTATTGTCTGTGTCTTGTCGAATGGTTTGCTTTGCTTGCCTTGGTGTTTAATGACTCGTGCCGCTTAGCACGCCGCCCGTTTAGTTGCTCACCCGTCCAGTCATGCACACTTTCCCCTCCCCCAAGGTCGGCGAACACAACATCACCCCCTTAAATGAGGGACTGCGAGGAATGTGCGTTGGAGAGCTAAGGTTTAAAGAGATTAATATCTTGCTTCCAAGAAAGGACAAATGCATATAATAAAGGCAGCTTACATCACACATGTACATGTGATTCCTTCATGCATTTGCTCCTTCCCCTATAACAGACGAGTTGGCATCCCCGTTGGTGGCCTCGGAAAGGTGTACTATGAAATTACCTTGAAGGACTACACAAAGGGAAACCCCCCAAGAGACGAGCTGTAAATCTGGTATAGCCCTTTCCTTTGCAAATGTGCTGTTGGGTGTAGCACAAACTAGGTGTATATCCACGTTTACATTTGTAATACGTTTACGCGGGGAGCAAATCCCCATTTGTCCCAGTTTTCTGAGTGGAAGTGCTACCCTTCATGTATACAATTACGTACCCATGTGTATGTGCTCTTCCCGCTAACATGTTAAACGCATCAAAAATAAAAACAAAAAAAAGTGCAAGCAATACAGCACAGTTTCGTGAAACTACAATGGCAACGTAGTCACTGTTTTTTGGCGAAGCAAAATGCAAAGTAAGGGATCGAACGGGAGGCCATTTTAAATCTCCCAACGTAAATAAAAATTGTGGGGTGGGTTGATATGGCACAACATGAAATAAGAACGACTCGACAGAGAGGCTCCAAAAAAAAAAAAAAAAAAAAAAAAAAAAAAAAAAAAAAAAAAAAAAAAAAAAAAAAAAAAAAAAAAAAAAAAAAAAAAAAAAAAAATGGGCGCACTTGTACCAAACCAAGTATACAAATAGGCGCAAATATAAACAAATTAGAGGGCTGCAAAAAGGTCAAATGTTCGCAGTCCAAGCGCAACTGCTTGGCATTTTTCGCTGAGCTTTGCAATTTTAAACAATACACCATTGCAGCTACATAGGGGAAATTTATATATATACATATGTATGTATATGTATGCATATATAGCAGCCATATGCAGGGGAGTTAGCATCCCTTGCGCGAGTAAAACTGCGGGGTTAAGTCATCCGTTCGAGCGTTCTCTGCAGAGGTAGTACTGTGCCGCCCTCTGTCAAAAACAAAAACAGGAACGCGCTTCAAAAACCAGGGAACCTCCCCCAAGATGTCGCTCAACATCCAGGAGCAACAAAAAAACAGCGCCATCAGCATGCTGAACCTAAACGAATACAATGACAACCTAAGCAGTAGTGGAAATATCTTGTACTATTCGCATGACAAAATATGGAAAATATTAATATACGACTCGGAGGGACAGAACATCCTTGCCCCGTTGCTGAAGGTGGGCAATTTAAGGCACCATGGAGTAACCCTAAATTTAAATTTACACAGACAAAGAAGTACCATCCCAGAAGTCAATGCAGTATATCTCGTAGACAACAACAAAGAAAATATCGACACAATTGTTAAGGACATGTGCAATAATATGTATGGAAGTTACTACATCAATTTTATATCTTACGTGTCTGAAGAAAATTTAGGCTACTTTGCAAATGAGTGTGTAAAAAATAACGTTGCTTCTCATGTGTCCAAAATTACAGATAGGTATTTAAAATTCGTGAGCTTATCTAGTAGTACCTTCTCTTTGAACATTCCAAATTGCTTCAAAATTCTACATGCAAATGAAGATCATGTGATTCAAAATGTGATGGACAAGATAACTGAAGGACTCATTTCTTTTCTTGTCACTTTAGGCATTATCCCTATCATTAGGGTTTCTTCTAATTCCTCTTACCCTTCCAAAACGATCGCAGAAAAACTACACAAGAAAATTTACGAACTCGTCAACATAAGGTCCACAAATAATTACATTTTTAACTCCAAAACGGTGCAGAGACCGGTTTTAATTTTGGTTGATAGGGAAGTCGATTTGAGTGTCATGGTGCAGCATGCATGGACATACCAGGCACTCATTCATGATGTGTTTGATATAAAGCTCAACAAAATAAGCCTCCGCCAAGCTGGTGAAAATGGCACAAGCACATCCCTCACTGGAAGCAGCACACAGCACGCACCTATAAAAAACTACGACATTGACAACGGAGATACCTTCTTCTCCACCAACTGCAATAAACCCTTCCCCGAAGTGGCTAACAATATTAGTGAGTGTTTAAATGAGTACAATGAAAAGATGAAAAATTTAAACAAAAATGAAACAGGCGGAAGCCTCTCCTCTGGGGGAGGTATAGTAGGCACTAATGTCGGGGGGGATAACATCACAGGAGGACTCATGTCCGCAATGAATATACTCCCAGAAATGACTGAACATAAGAGACTGCTAGACATGCACACAAATATACTCACCGAATTGATAAAAAATATTAAGGATAGGGAATTGGATAAATATTATGAAAATGAATTTGACTTTGAAAGTTGTAATGAAAAAGTTTGCATACAACACATGAAGGATATTCTTACCTCATCAAAAGGAACACCCATGGATAAGTATAGAGCTTTTTTATGCTTATATTTGGCCAAAAAAAATATGAACAAACAGGCAATGGACTCATTTTTGCAACAATTAAAAAATATGAACATTGACATTTCAGCCATTTATTTTATAAATCAATTGGAAAAATTAAAAACCATGAATATACATATACATGTGACTACCCCCCTCACCCACTCGAACAGCGGAACAACCACAACAACAACCTTTAAGGATCAACTCAATACGTACAGTAATATCTTCATCGATAAGGGCATGAACATATTACAGGGGGCGAAAATGCTATTGCCAAAAAGAAGGGAAATTAAAATTACCAAATTGGTTGAAACGCTAATTGAAAATAAACCCTCCTCCTCTTTGAACGACCAATTTGTATACATCGACCCCAAGACCCCTCCAACTGATAAAACCACCGGAAACAACAGTCTCGAAAAAAATTATATTAAACAGGATCATGTAAAGGATTATATCATTTTTGTTATTGGGGGGGGAAACTACATTGAAGTTTCCGCGTTGAAAGACTTGGAGGAAAAAATGAATAAAAAAATTATTTACGGAACCACTGATTTTGTTCGTCCGGAAAATTTTGTCCAGGAGATCAACCAGATAGGTGTTGCCTTCTCAGGGTGAAGTTCATTGTGGTTCATTCGTACATGCATAATTTAACCGCTCAAACGTTGCTTAATTACTTATGGGGATGTGCCGCTCTACCACAGTTAGCCCTATTATTACACCACGTATCATACGGGACCCCCCTCGCAATGTTATAAAATTTTATTTACCAGCTTCAAGTTACCATAGAAGGTAGCCAACAGGCGGGTGGGGCAAAAAAGACAAAGTCCCAACCAGAGCAGTGTACCATTTGCCTGTGCAACATTACACGCAGATGAGACTTTTTAGCTAGCCCATTTTGCAAAAAAAAGGTCATCTCATGGAGGAAATTCTTTTTTGTAAACTCTTCCTTGTGGGTGCATTCGTCTTTTTTTTTTTTTTTTTTTTTT